ACAACTATCATGCATTATTAATATGTGTATCACCACTGACGGTAAATGACCTAGTAATTTGCCATAAAGTAAAACATTAGGAAGTGAAACTAAACCCTAAAACACAACAGGCTTTAGATGAAATAAAAAATATAAAAAGAAGTTTTATTAAATAAGTATGTTAAATAAGAAATCGAAATCTTCTTTAAACAAACCATTCCTTTTAGGGGATAAAAATAGTGAGAATGTGAATATTTTTAATACTCTTTCTTATATTGGCGGTGTTGGTGTTTAAAGATAACATTCTATTGATTAAATTTCTCCTTAAATATTATTTTCTAAAACTTAGTTTCAGACCAGTTTATAGTAATCAATAGATTAATGTTACAATGTTTTGATCTGTAACAAGAGTAGACTTAAAAGAAAAAATAATTTCCAACAGGCAGTTATTTAATTTATTTCTTTTTAATTGGTTTAATATATAACTTTTATCTTCTAACTAAATTTGCTTAAATGTCGTATTAAGAAAGTAATATCTTGCAGACTAATAAACAAAAATTTAAAATATTAATCAAAGAAAAGGCTATTAAACCTTTCAATAGAGTTAATGTTTATAAATATATACTAATAATGTTAAGTACACTAAACTTATCAATAGTATTATTAACTTGTAGTATTATTTACCACATGTCATTTATTTAGATATTGACCTTTATTTTTTTTATCCATCGGAATTATAAAAGAAGAAGAAATACTTTTTAATTAATTAATTAACTTAAAATATATTCGGTGGCTGTAATACCACAACATCATATAATTTTATTTTGTTATATATAATCCAGCTATTACTAGACTTGCTTAATACATTTAGTACCTTATAAATTTAAGTTAATAAAACTTTATAATTTAAGTTAAGTATTGTGATATTTGCCACATTTATTTTTATTTTTTAAATATTTAAAATATGAATTTTCAAGAATTTTTTTTATCTTCTATATATATAAAAAGTTTGAATCTGAATATTTATTTATTTTTTTACCCCTCTTTTTTAAAACTTTGTAAAATTCTTATTATTTTTTATTCCTTTAAAAGCATTAAAATACAACCCAAAAAATTGTATATAATTGTTACTAAATGAATATTACGGGGTTTTAAGTATTTTTATAAGATTTTTCAATTTTTTGTAATTGCAAAATTGTGACTATTGCAAATTTTACTTTACAATATAACACATTTTGTATTTTAAACAATGCGCACAAGCCTAAAGACATGTTACACAATGAAAAATAAGAATATTATTTATTTATAATCTCGTTTCAAACGGGATAGCGTTAGCTAGTTTTAAATAATGTTAGTAGAGCAGGTATGCAATTTTTGTAAACTTTTAATTCTATATTATCCCAACAAATGTAAAGATTAATATAAATAAAATTGTTAACCTATGGTATACTACTATATTACTTGTCAAATATATTTTTATATGTATCGAATTAAAAAATTTTCCTTGGAGGGGTTAATTTATGAGGAATGAAATATAAAGCAGTTTATTTTTGAAGCTCAAGTATATAAGTTTCATAGCTTTTATTATTTGTAACTGCACCACCAAAGGCAATTTTTCGTAGTATACTAAGTCGTGTCTTATATTGCGTATCTATCATCTATAACCTTGCTTATATTCAATCGATGACTTTCAAGTGTCTTTTCTACTACTTTAAACTAAAGAAATGCTTATCCTTCATTATCTATACCAAACCTCTGCATATACTTGCTGTAATATTTTGTAATTAACCCACCCAAAGTCATGACATACGGAAACACTATATATGTATATATATATATGTTTATATAACTTTTTATTTTTGTATAAATTTTAATGCTTCACTAAAAATTTATATTTCTTAACTTTATTCAGTTTTACTGTTTCTAAATAATAATGCTTGTTATTTCTATTAAAAAAATATTTTTTCCCTCCTTCTCAAATACAACTATGTTCGTTTTTATTAGCTTATATTTTTACATCAATGAATATTCTTGCATCTAGTTTAATGACAACTCTTTTTTTTCTTAAAATTTTTTTGATTCTGTGGTTTCTATTTTCTTGGATATTCTAAGACCACATTTTAAAGTTAATTTAGAAGAAATAATATGGAATCAATATTAGCAATTATAAATATAATATTACAAATACCTTTACCAACAAAATCCAAAGGGATTACAACAATTAATAAATTTTAACAAAAAAAGCCTTTTAGAAAGGTGTTATTTTAACGCTTTTATTTCTACATACCTATAACTCCATAATTATATCTATAAATATAATACATACAACATTTATAAGAATTTTATAATAAGTATGTAGATATATTTAACTTTAAATCTTCAACTGATGTAGAATCTATTATTCATAAATTAAAAAAGATTCAAGCATTTATTATTTTTATAAAATAATATTTATTGATAGGCGTAGTACATCTTCAAATACTTAAATTACTTCTTCAACTACGTGATAAAAAATTTTAAATATTAATAAAGGATGTATTATTAAGTTTAATTAAACAGTAATATTATACAAGACATTATTGATAAGCATAACATTCTCTATACGAATGATTCCATAGACACATTATGCTTGGACATATCTGAAAAAAATTATTGACGAAATACTAGAGCTGATTAAATAGTTAATAGTAAAAAGTAAAGTTGATGAGATTATAAAAAAAATATGATATATTAAACTTCAAGCTGAAATACCAAATTTATTAACTGATGATAAACATCGAAATTTATTGTTAAGCCCTAAAAGAGAATGTTTGGTGTTGTCTAATGACATTGATAATAACTATATATATAGCTTAAAACAACAGACAATATTGTTAGTTCACTAAACGCCAAAGTTACTAATTAATGATGTAGATATCTTGCTACTTTGGAATAACGTAAGGGCAAAGCAAGCATTAAACTTGCATCACTAAATCTTTTTCTGAATTGTTGTGCAGGATAACCAGTAACAGACAAGAAAGGATAAAATTATCTCTTTTTTCTTTCATCCCGCGATACTATTGGTTTTGGGATGACACATCAAACATATTCATTGTTCATTGGTTTAAAATAAGGAGAAAGAACTATTTAAGAATGGTTACATTAATAAATATGGTTTTTACTAAAAACCATTCTTTTACACAGGTCAGTCTGTACAATGTTTTTGTCCAAAAAAGTCGTCGTTCCAACCCAGGTTCCATCAGTAATTAATAACTGTTTATTAAAAATAGGTAGGATGATGCTAAAACATTTTAGTTGGCTTGCTTAATGCTATTAAACATTAAACTAATTATAAATTAAAAAGTTTAATTATTTATTATTTTATCTTTAAAATTATTTAAATGAAGTATCAATGATATTATTTAAACAGATTAACAGTGATATAAATTAAAAGTTAAAAAATTAGTGTATAGGAAACTTATACAGAATCGGTTTTTAGTACAAAAACATTTATATTTCATTACAGCCATCTAAATAGTTTTTAGAAACTGTTATAAAATAAAATGATTATAAACATATGATAAATATTTTTTATATATTCAATAAGTATATGATTCGTTTTTGATTTAAAAAAACATTGTATTCCTTACATCAACACGAATTATTGCATATTTGTATATTCAAACAATCAAGAGCTCTTTTTTAATCAACAATCATATTTATAAAAGAATGAAGGTTTTACATATTCGGTCTTTCATAATAATTTATGAATACTATTATTTTGCAAAAATATTCTTTAAATCTTTTATAAAAAATTCGTGTATTCAAAAACATTTATGTGTTTGGATGTTGCATTCCTTTTTCGAAGTACTGTTTGATAATAGAATAAATACTGAAATGATTTATTAAAATTTCGTTAGACTGTTTTTTATGATAATCCTCACTAGGAGATTTTTTATTTATAAGGAATTTTTAATTAACCTCAAAATATTTTACATTTGATGTTTTTGGCTTTATGTGTTTAGATTTTATAACTTTGTAATATACTAAATTTATTGTTTAAAGTGCTGTAATCTGTTCTTTTTTAATCTTAGTATAAAATAAACATTATATGTCTTATGACAGCATTTCTGTGAACTAACAATTAAAAATAGCAATATCAAAAAATATTATAAACAAAAAAGAATTTAAAAATTTTTGATGAATAAATTATAATCTTATAATATTTGACATTTTTACTACTCGTTTTAGTGTGTGTAAAAAGCACCTGTTAAAATTACTATGGTAATAAAAATATATAAGTTTTCCTAGTAAAATTTATTTACTTGCGCTAAAGAACTACTTTTTTAAAAAATTTAATTGTAAATATCTTTTTGTTCAAAAATATCTCTCAATTTTATAAGTTTTCGTTGAAAAGAATTAAATCTCTCATTGATATAAATTAGCAAGCATTCAATTTTATAAACATCAAAATTAGCCTGACAAATGAATTTATTGCCAACCATATGTAAATCGTTAAAATTTGATTTAAAAATCAAAAGTTTTGTAGGAATGTCGGCATACTTGCTAATTTTTTCATATGCTAGATCCAACGATGATAAAAAAATCTGTATTGATTTTCGCTCTATCTTTATATGAATTGAATTAATAGTATTTAAAAAATGTGAAAGACTAGTTAAAGTAAGAATTGTTTTAAGCTTTAAGTTAGTAGGTAAGTTAGATATTTTAAGTCTTTTTATAACTTGTGGTATTCGATTCTTAATCATAAGTTTAGAAAATTTTTTAAAACTTCTTTCGGATTGTTTGTATTTTTCAAAAAGTTCACGCTCATTATCTTTAAATTGATTAGAAAGAAATAAGGCTTTACTTTTTGCGCTTTTAGATTTAAAAGCAATTTCATTACCGTTTATTTGCATATTAGATACTTTATTGATTTTTAGTTTTTTCCTTTTATCTTTTACGTTTTTTTCATTTTTGCAAACATAAATGGAATATTTACTATTTTCTAAGTTTTTAATCAGTGAATCATAAATATTAGATGGTATGTTGATTTGATCATAATTTGGTTTATTAATAAAATTAGTCTTTTTATGGTAAGACTGATGATCTGATAAAACAGTAATATTATCAATTTTCTGGAAAGAAGTGTTGTTTTCTGAATCGATATATTGTTCTTGTAATAAATCATTATGAGCTCTGCGTAATAATACATTAGTGTTATTTTTGCAAAATTCATTTTTATATGAATGTTCCGCTGTATCATTTCTCAGTTGTTTAATTGTACGAAATTGTTTATCACATTTATTAGTAATATATTGATTATCCATGATACTTTGTGGCATATAATTGCTTTCAGAAGTCATTGAAAACATTTTAGTACTTAAATTGTAATCAACATTATTATATCCATTGTTAAAACATTCGTCTATAAAATTTGTAAGATCATCTAATAAATTTGAATTAGATTGGTTTTCGTAAAAATTTTTATCTTTTGTTTTAGTTAAATCTTGGCTCTTTTGTTCTATCTCTTCATTTTCACATAATTCTTTTTTTTCAAATGCTTTTAAGAAATCTAATGTATTTTCTAGATCTAATAATGAATTAACATCTAATATTTGCGTTGAACAAAAAATTGTCTGCAGCCAAGATAGCATTTTACGGTTTAAAATTTTGTATAATTTATTATATTCAAAAATTACAGTATCAAAAGTATTTTATGTTATTTATACGACACATTGTATTTATAATCACATGTCCAATTACGACAAAAAATATAAATAAAAAGACTTATTAAGAATTTTACATTGATAAATAGAAAAATTCTGCAGTAAAAAATTTTATAGTAAAAAAAGTAATAACAAAAATGTAACATTGGAGAAAAATCTACCATAAATATTTTATTTGTAATTATTAAAAGTCTATTAGAAAAGTATTTTTAAAAAGCAATTTATGCTTTTTTACGTAAAAATATGTATTAAATTTTAAAAATTGAGATACTGTTCTAAACTGTCGCAAAATAAACAAATCTTAAAGTTTAATTTAATTTTGATGATCAAAACATTTAAATGTGTGAATATTAATCATTCAATACATACAATTTTCATAAAATAAGTTTGATTAACTAAAAAGTAAGATATAAAGAGATATTTTGATCAAAATAAATTTATACAAAAAATAATTTTTTATTAAAGCATATCGGGTTTATATCATCAGAATTCATTATTTGTTTTGGTGCAATATGCAATCATCGCCTAACAAATCAATATGAAAAAATTCTTTAATTTATCTATTTTATCATCATTTGATTTTTACAGATTTAATGATGAGGCTGCTTTAAATAATCAAACTTTTAAAAATCATTTTGTGTTTTAATGTGTAAGTATACATATGAATTTTTCTCTCTTTTTATGTCCCTTTTTATATTGTTGATAGGAATTGATTGCATAAAATAATTTTTAACTTGACAAAATCTATAAATTTCTTGTTAAATATTTTTTTTGCTTAACATAATAGATTGTACGTTGTATTTTACAAATTAGTAATTTTCATAAAATTATGCTTATGATTTTTAAAGATAAGAAATTAAAATTTATTTCAACTTAATAATTTTTTGTGTACATATCTAGTTTCATGTATTAAGTTAATTAATAGACTTAATATATTAAAATTGCAGTTTTAAACATAAAAATTTTTAAAGTAGTAAAAGTACTTAACAATTATTTAATCAAATAATTGTACAATTTTAAGGGGTAAGTTCTTAGACTAATTTATATTACAAAGTAATCATTAACGTTTAGATGTTTGCTCACTTTATGTTTATAAGATATTCTTAAAAGTTCTTCAATCTTGTTAGCTAATATCATCATAGTTGCTCTATTTCGACTGGTGTTTTTTCAATATCTTAAAAATAGTAGACACAACCATTTAATTTTAAACATATATGTATCAAATTATCATGCTCAATATAGTAATTGTGCCCTGTAATAAGTCAAGTCTAATTAGCAATCTTATTTTTGACGTTTCTGCATTTTATTAGACATTTAAATAGCTAAACACGTGGTGTATGTTAGCTATTACAATTCTTTAATAATAACATTAACAAGGTTATATTCTTAAATATGTTTAATGCTGACTTTTATTCACACTATTATAATACCATGCAAAGTCTTATAATCAAGTAAGTTCTTTCATAATTATATATTTTTGTGGATCAAATTATTAAAAAAGTAAAAGTTAATAAATAAGTCAAGTTGATTTTTTGGTGCTTACAAAAGCTATTAAAGAAAGTGATGCCTATAAAAATAACATTTTCTTTGCAAAAACTTCGAAAACTGTTATGTATTATAATATGACCATCTTTTTTTAACTTTTTCTTACCGCAGTGCCAACGGGAATAGACCTTGTTTTTTTGAACACTTTTATAAAATGATAATCATTATATTAATTACTACATTAATTACTATATTGATTTCTACCATAGTTTATATTCTGCTCTATACACGTTGCTTCTTTTATTATTCGTTTCTTGAATTTTTCTTTAAAATTTTTATCTTTATTTTTTTTTTAAAATACGATTGTAAGTTTTTAAAAATAGTAAAAATAATTCAAACATTTTTGTCGTACCAAAGGTTATGAAAGTTTGATTTGCTTAAATATTTTGCTTATCAAAGCTTATTGTAATATGTAAAAATTGTAAAGAGGAAAAAATTTCATGTTTAACTTATAGTTGTCGTAAACATACAGCTAAGATATTTGTACTACAAAATGTAAATGATTCAATTTTCCAATTCAGATAATGTTAGAAAAGAATGAGATTGATAATTCGACGTTAATCAAAAATAATAAATTAATATTAAAAAAAGTTAAATGTAACATATTTTTCATACATTGATTAAAAAACATAATTAGTTTAATCAAAAACCATATCATGATAATACGGTAAGGCAGTTTAAAGTTAAAATTTTTATTTATAAAGACTATATCACTAGGGATTACAAAAATTAAGCCATAAAATTTGATATACTAAAATGCTAAAAAAAATATTTAATAGTTTTCAATCATCTTTAGTCTTCTTTTTAATGCGGGATGAGATGTTAAAAACAAATTATAAAGCAAAGAGCAATCATACACCGATCTATTCTCCATGCACATCTTTATAATTCCCTGTTTAAGATATTCACGTGGATACATACCTACACTAAATTTATCGGCCTTAATTTCGTCAAAAAAAGTAAATAAAAATTGAATTGATTCATATGCTTGTCCAAAAAAAATAAACCCACAACCAAGAATTTTTAAAGCAAATTCTGTAATTTCTAGTGCAGTCAATGTCTTTAAATAGGATATTGTAGTAGGCTTTAAGAAATATTTTGTAAAGGAAAATGATGGAATAAAAAATATTAAAAAATTGATAACAGTTTTTTTTAAACATGTATACGTAACAATATGTCCCACTTCATGGTACAATAAGCTTAAAAATTCTTGTTGACTCATTAAATTGTATACTTTGTTACAAACGTAGATTGTAGCAATTTTTAGATTACTAACTACGTAAATATTGCATTCTGTACTTTCGATGTCGCGTACATTAAAAACAAATCCTCGCCCTTCAATAAAGTCGATAATTTCTTTAGGGAGATTATCTTTGGTACAAATATCTATAATTTTAGCTCCAATAGATCTCTTCCATGCTCTATAAAACCATTCATTTCTAAGAAATACGAATATAACAAAATACCGATTCCTTAATATAAATCTATGTAATATAAAGTATTCTAAAAAGGCAAGTAGTACGTTTACAATTTTTTTGTTATCATAATCAAAACAAAGATATAGTAATATTATGGCTATTAAAATATTTTGCTCCTCTAGTACAGTCTTAAGATAGTTGTAAAAATTGTATATTAAATTGCATATCTTTGTCCCTTGAGATCCGCTACTTGTCGTATAATTAAAATTGTTATGCTTTAAATTCAGAATGTTTCCATTTTTTTTGCAGAACAGTAGTGCTATTACAAATAAATACATTACAAACTTAAATAGTTGCGACCTAACATTATTAAGATGATTTCTTTTGGCTTCTAAAAATAATTCAGTTGAATAATAAGATGGTTTGGTAGTATACGCAACGTTAATCAATTCATAAGACAAAATCATTACAAAGAAAAGTGCATAAGAGTATAAAAGGCATTCATACATGGGTAAAAAAATTTTCCCTTTTTATACTTTAAATAAAAAATATTGTACAAATAAGAATAATTTACTATTTTTTATATATTCAAAAAAAAGATAGTTTCTTAAAACACATAATTTTTTGGAGAAAAAATTATACTATTTATAACTTTATTAAATTCATTGGTTACATTTGAGATATGTGTCATAACAACCAATAAAGACATGATACACAAATTAATAGTGATCTAAATATAGAAAACAATTAAAGATTAAAATTTAAAAATAAATAGCTGAACAAAAATGAAAGAATGAAGTGGGGTTAAAGTCTGTCTATTTGGTATTTTTGGATATTTCCAAAATTAAAAAATTAATGCACAATTAACAAATAAATAATAAGTAAATAAATTAAAAAATTAATAACTTAACAAATTAAAAAATGAGCAAACCATTTACAAATTAATAATAAAATAATTTTAACAAAATTTATAGACTGTTGCTTCCTTCGTTTCTTTTCAACATAAATTTTAATAAGTATATATATAAATATATAATAATTTATTTGTTTATTGATTAAATTCTTATTAGAAAAACTTCAGTTCATCAGATTTATTTAAGCACCTATAAATTTTTCAGATTACTTATACATTATAGTCTTTTAATTGTTAAATTTTCAGCCAATCTTTTGTACCTACCTTTTTTTATTATGCTTAATCTCATTCTCTTAGAAAACTTCCCTTTTTTAAATCTCAAAACAGCACATTATCAGCACTAACATGCCACAAGGGCCTCGCTTAGTAGGAAGATGTATTAAAAATTTCCGTAGGGATCACCTCATAGAGAGCCGACAACTGGTAGTACGCTACCAGATCAGGGGATTCTGGATCTTGTGGTCGGATAAGGTGGTATGGGTCTAATGACCGTGATGAACTCTCTCACCATTCCATGCAAAATGCTAGAGCTTCACCATCCTGCTACTCCCTTTTCTCAGGCGGGTCTTCAGATGTAAATTTTACTAAAGGTCTCTAAATACGACCTGCAAATGCTTCCACAGCTACGACAATTTTCGTACCAGCCCAAAGATGTTACACGCCTTCTCTATCTACATCTTTAAAAACATTTACAACCCTTAGTCTATGCCTGCAGAAAAGCTTACAATACAACTTTACCGACAAATATTTTATGACAATTGTTGTGTAAACGCCAATATTACTTAGCGAATTCGCATTGCTGGTGTTTGGACCCATACCCCACAAGCATCGGGACGAGGCATAACCATTGCACTTAAGTATGTATCAATTAATTTCCGTGTTATACTTCTTATTGGAATTGTTCTTTTTATTCCACTCCGGCTACCTTCTATGGTACTGGTGTGAGTGTTGGATTTTTTGTTGACAAAATGATTTGAATGGGTTACTGTTTGATGTCTTAGAAATTCTTTGGAAAGATTTGAGTAACATTTCCAGCAATCACTATAAATAGTTGTTTCTTTTTTATATATTTTTTACAAAACGTCGCTAAAGTAAGAGAGTCTTCTTTTTCTAATTTTATTAGCACGATTCTTTTAGTATTTCTGTCGACTGTGCCTACAACCCAAGCGTCCTCTACTCTATGACCCCTGTTGTATTTTCTCTTGCCAAATTTACTTTTGCCGATTTCAACAATAACATTCTCTTTGCCAATCTTATTAAACTTATTTAAATATAAGTCCAATCCTCTTAGTGATCGTAGCTTATTGCAGACTTCCAGGACTGAAGACCTGTGAATTCCTGCAATAGTAACAATAAGATCACAAGGAAGATTCTTAATCCATATATCTATTACTTTTATTAAAATAATTATAGTAAGTGGCGAGTTTTCAAAAATTGTTCCTTTATAGCAAGTGAACCTACAGTTACATACAGAAAAGGGACAGGCAGTCTTGTCCTTTTCCTTCAATTTACATGTATTTAAACCGCATTTATAACATTTTTGATCGTTATAATGGTTACTGACTTCACTTACTATTTTTTGATACTCCTCTTCCTTTTTAAGTTTTCTTTTTAGAGGTTAAAAAATTACAAATTTTGGTAATATCAAAAAATACCGGTCTGCCGATTTAGTCCATGAAGTAAATAATTTACATGACAACATCTTTAATATTGGTTGTATTTTACACATAGCAAACAAACTATGATTTACACGCAGTTTTTGATAATAATACAAAGATTAGTTATGAGTAAAAATAAAGATGCAATGATCATAGATAATTCTAAATTAATATTATTACATTTACATTATAATTTCCTAAACATGCAATAGAAATTATCTTGCTCCTTTTTTATTTGTCTTGTTTGACTTTTTAAGAAAAAAAAATATTAATAACATTTAAGAAATCAAAAATTAAAAAATATTTAATTTATAATTTAATTATCTTTTATGTACTTTTTTCGTTAACATAAAAATCAAAAACTTTATTTTTCTAAAGATTGTTATGTGCATTTTTAGCACTTATTTTAAACATTTATGTTAACATAAAATAAAGCCTTGCACAAACATTTTATAACTTTGATACGACATTAAAATCAAAAATACTTAAATATCATAAAACATTGGATATTTATGAAAAAGAATGTAAATGTACCACCAAAAATGAGTATTTTTAGATTTAAGTATTATTTATATAAAAATAAACTGATATAAGACATTTCATAGTGTTTCGAGGTTGTTTAAATAATAAAAGGTTGCAAAAAAAAACATAAAAACTAGCATAGATACAAGATTAAGAAATTTTGCATTGCGTTTTATTTTATATATATATTAAAGTTTAATAATTTGTTTTTCTTTTCTTAAAAAATTAGAAATTAAATTATCAACATGAGTATTTGATTTTAAATAAATATTTTAACTTTGCATTTAATAATTTTTAATATATTTTTAACGCAATAGTTTGATATATAATAAATATGACAGATTAGACTTTTCTAATATTATTAAACGCTTCTTCTAAAAATAGCTTATTTGCTAATGTAATATTAATTTTATATTGCTTTAAAGTGCTCATAAAAGATGAAGTTGTACAATGGTTATATTTACGCTTATACTGTTCATAAAATTTTACATATAATAATGAAAGTTGCCATATCTTCAAAAGATGTAAAACAGAAAGCACAATCTATAACGAAATTTAATTAAATAGTCACCTATTGCTATCGTAATTGGTTTCATTTAGTTTTTTCATCCCTTTTTGTGAATAATTATTATATATTTTTAGTAACCAATAAGATTACACCTTTAATTATAAGATGATTGAACAGCTACGACAATTGCCTTTAACTAAAAACTTATAACAAACATACAAGCAACTAATAACAACACCAATTATAGTTATGTATAATTTTTTAGTTTTAAATTCAACCTCCTTTAATATTTTAAAAAATTATAAATCCTGCTGTTAAAAAATTATATAAGCTAGTTGATAATATAAAAAAGAAATGTTTAAAAAAAAGGCTTTTTTAAAAAATAGGATATTATTTAACTTTACAAAAAAATTTGTTATTTTCTGTAAATTTAAATTTACAAAATAACGTTTTCTACTAAATTGTAAAAAAGTAGTCTATTTTTTAATAATAAGATTTTAATATACTTTTTAAAATTAAATATAATGTGTTATTACAATTAAAAAGTTCAATTAATTGCATAATTATATGTATCATACGTATATGTCAGTCCAGTGTAGGGTTTTATTATGGCACTATTAGTATCTTTTATCAGCATAAATATTTGATCAGTATTTTCATTACAGGCTTTCACGTTAATTATTGTGTTTTCTATTAATGTCATACATAAACCATATTGAGAAATTTTAAACCCTCCTTCAGGAGTAAAAAAAATTTTAAATTTTTGATTTTGTAAATTGGATTCTTCGTCTACAAATTTTAATTTATCATTATCAATTAGCTCTAATATCTTTCCCATGCAGTAAATTTTTAAGTATCCCGGAGAAACTTCTTTTAACTTGTAATAAAATCTTGGATCGTCATGAGAATGGATGAATTCAGGAAGCAATGTACTGTCTTTGCACAATAGTTTTACACTTGGATCATAAAACATGCTTATCCTGAACATATTTGTACAATAAATAAAGTACAAATATAAAAACATTTTAAAAAATTATATTTTCTTGTTTTGTAATTTTATGAAACAGATAGACATGATTGTTACAATACATGCAAACATTACAGATCGTTTACAATATTACAACACAATTTTTTGGAAAAGAATTATTTGTATTTTATATATTGATATTGTGTTTTAGTTTTTTTGAAACGATAAAATGCAAAAAAGAATTTTAGATTGTAGTGCAAACAAATAAAAAATATATACTTAAATCTTTGTTACTTGTAAATTAATCTAATTATTTCTTTACGACATCCTTATTAGAATTGTAAAAGCATTACACAATAGTGTGAAATTATTTTTAAAATTTGTTTTAGAGATTACAAAATTATTTGATAGGCTTATAAAAATTTATTGTTGTTTTAATAGACTATTATAAAGTTATTAAAACCAATTTTACATTAAATTTATTTGCCAATATAAACTTTCTACTTGTAAGTGTTATTTTCAGTTGTAAAAAAATATTAGGCTGTTTTTTTATTTTAATAATTTAGTAAATTGAACATAACAATTTAAATAAAAAAGTTTATTAATTTGACAGTACTCAAAAAAGCAAACAATATACTTTCAAAAAAATTTTTTAACTATTTTTAAACCGCAAAGATTTATCAAAAAGTTTTTTATTAAAGTTATATATTGCAATTTAGGAGATAATAGCTTACAAAAAAAGTTATTATTTTTAAAGATATTTGTATGCTATAAATAAACACAAAGTAAGTTGTAATATAATATCCCTTGGTGGAACCGTGTGGTTATTTAGAAAAAAAAACTAATAGATTCATTATTATAATTTTTTATTGAAAAAATTTTTTCGTAAAAATAAGCTTCTTAAATTCTTAAAAGAAGATGATTTGTTATTGATATCCAATGATACCCAATAAAATTTCAATCTTTCAATTTATTGTATGTCACTTAGTCATTTGTTATGGATTTGACCCGATGCGCCATTGGTTTTAGAAATGCTTTACATAAATATATATTTTTTAATTCAAATGGTTGTAAGACTAGATTTTTATAATCTAACTGGCATTCTATACAGGAATGCGGCCTGCTCGGAAATAATATTTCAACAAACTAATACAAAAATGCGCGTCTTTCCCTAGATGGGTTTATTTGTTATATGATATAATATTTGTATTTAAATATTTATTTTAAAATGCTATGTTATTAGCAGTATTTTTCTTTATTTACGTTCAGGTTTTATAAGTAACCAATAATCAATGAAAAAAATTAATATTTGTCCTTATCTTAAAACGACTAAAATTTAGTGTGTTATTAACATTACACTATTTAATTCTCAAGTTTTCAACGCTAAATATTTTTAAAAACCAATTATTTAATTAAATTAGTATAAATTATCTAAAAAAATTGTGTTATTTTAAAGAAGTTACTACAAATATCAGAAAAATTGACTTATAAATTAAACCTTTTAAGCAATAACGTAAATTAAGTAATTTTGTAGCAGACAAAAAATACTAGTACTTTAAAAGCAATAAATTTTTATAAACAACTCACCTAGTTGCAAAAAATGCTTAAACTTTTTTTATTAATAACAAACAAAATATTTTTTTATAAAATTTTAAAGTTAATTCCGCAACATATGTTTAAAAAACAGAACAAATATTGTTTTTGATTAATTATACAGATCATATGTTAAATATAACGATAGTTCTAACAAAAATAAGAAATTAAACTATTCAAAAGTCTGTACATGTAAATGTATTTTATAAGATTCAATTTTTAAGCCTTTTAAATAAAAAATTAGCATGCCACTTATAAGAGACAAATATAAAAATTTATATCTTACAGAGAAAAATGCTTAAATGTTCAAAGATACAGATAATTTCTAATTGCAACAAAGAACAAATATTTAGATAATTAAAAATTGTGTCTCTATTCCCCAAGATTTATTAAAGTTTTTTAAATAGTAATCAAATAACAAAAAAGAAATTTTACTCAATTTTTTACCCAAAAAATTATATAAAATTCTAAATAAATATTTAATGTATTTATTTCTATGTTAAAACTGATGAACATAGTTTACAAAAATTTCTAGATATAAACAGCAAAATAACAACAGATGATTTTTTTTTAAAAATATAACGAGCTAAAGTGATATGCTGCCTTGACTATATGATCAATACATTTGATTAAATTTTAATCAAAAAATCAACTTTTCTTATAATTTAATAAGTTAAGTAAAGCAAAATATGCGAAAAAAGTAAAAATTTGTTATGCAACGCATTTTTTACCATTAAACTTTTAAATATCCATGTGGATCATTTACATATTAATTATCTGTAAAAAGCTACAAAACAAATTGCAACTTCAAATTCTTTTTTGTGACATTTAAAAGCCAGCAATATTCAGTTGACATATTTATCTTTATATATGTCTTCAATTTAATTTGTAAAAATTAATTGATGTTTATTTTGCTTTAGTTTTTTTAGAATTTAACATACATTGGAGCAATTAAAATTTCTAATCTTTACAATTAGCAATCAAGTTAAATTCTCAACAAATAATAAATCTTATTAGTGATTATATTTCTACGAGTCGAAATATTATAATAGAATGTGCTTTTAGTAATTAATATAAAAAAAAATATCTTCTATCAATAAAATATGTTATTTTTTTACTTAAACAACTTTAATAATTTCTAAAACTTTATTAGCTTAACTAGGTGACATAAATTATTTTAAAATTAATTAATTAGCTAAACTGCTATCCATAGTACAAAAAGTGGGTTAGGGTTTTTTTAAAAAATTTTACCCCTAAAAATGAATTTTTAAAATGGGAAAATGATTAATGAGGGAGAATTAAATAATTTTTATTTTAATTTAATAAGTATAAGATCTCAACAATGTTGCTAAAATTGCTCTAATAAGACCAGAATAAGAGTTTTTTATACAAATTAATTGCAATGCTAGTTTAATTTGTACTTGGTTCAATTGTAAGGATACATTTTCTATGTGAAAAAACACTGTTTTTTTTAATATCAGAATCAGTCATATATTTATTCTTGAAGTTATGAATATGTGGTCAACTGGAGTATTAGTTGATTTAATTATTCTCGATGGACCAAAAGATCAAGTTTGGGATATTTTTTAAATCATGCGTAGTTTTGACATTTATAATCTTTATCTTAAATCAATCGGACTTTTGGGTGGTGAAAGTTGTATTGTAGAAATAGATGAAACTAAAATAGGAAAGAACAAAAACAATAGAGGTCAGTAATTACAGGATTTTGGGCAGTTGGAATGATAGAAAGAACCTCTGAAAGAAGGATAGTTATTATTGGAGTGAAAAGAAGAAATGCAGATACGTTAATTCCATTAATTCTTTCTCATGTACATCATAATTCAGCCATTTTAACAAATGCTGGCGAAAATGTACAAATATAAGACGCTTTTTTAGAAGCTGCCGTGTAGTAAACCATTCCTTGCACTTTCGGGATCCTCACAAAGGCGTGCACACCAACACTATTGAAGGGAAGTAGAGATATGTAAAGGTATCGATTTCTTTAAAAGTACGAACCTATTATTTATGTGATCTATGTCTATTTAGATACATGTGCACGAGAAATGAAAGAGGAGAAACTACAAAAAAGTTGATTAAATTTTTTTTTTAAAATTTTTAACACTTTTAAAAAATTTACAAATTTTCTGTCCTGCTTTTACGTTTGTTTTTACAGTTGATTTTCAAAAAACAAGGGTAAAATTTTTTAAAAAACTCCAACGCACTTTTTGTACCATGAATAGAAGTTCAACCAAAAACTTTAAATTGTTATTTAAATACTTTATTTGGGTGGTTGGTTAATTAAATTTTAAAAAAAGTATAAAGTAGACTTCCATAGTACACATTGTCATTTAATTTATCCTACCAATTTTTATTACACTTTTAAATGTTAGTCAAAATAAACAGAAGTTGTTCTAAAACTTTATTAAAACAAAAATAAAATATTTAGGTTTAATTCATTTTGTTTAAAGTAAAAATCCATTTCTTAAAGATTACAAAACTTTATAAAAATAATTTCATTTTATATTAAATTATTTACACAAAATCACATTATTAGTAAGTTATTGTTTTTGCACTTAATTTTGTCGTAAACAAGTTAAAGTGTTATTATAATTTATCATACCCAGAACGATATGTTTTTTCTTTTTTTATTATTCTGATATACTTTTCATTAGAAACTATTAATTTATTGATGTTTGTTTATTTACCTATTAAAAAGTTTGTGGTTTTTTTACTGTTGTTTCTGATTTTTCTTTTTAACATTTGTAAAAATTTTAACTTATACTTTTGTAAAATTTTAATATATACTTTTTGCAAAATTTTAATTTATACTTTTTGTAAAATTTTAATTTAACTTTATGTAAAAGCAAAGATTTTGTTGTTGTTGTTGGATATAAAGCAATTGAAATAAATTTATTTTTTTTTAAATTTATTTTACTTTTTTGATTAAAAAAATAATAACAAATTTTCATTAGGAAAAGAAATACTTTTTTTTATTTTATATAAGTTACATATAATAATGACGTTAAAAAATAATTTTTTTTCTTTATTTAAATGCTTGTGTAAAAATTTATCCCATAATGTTTTATCATATTTTAGCAATTTTTGGATCAAGTATTACAAGAAGAGATATACATACAGAAGAACAAAATTCTATATTTTACGATTATAAAAATAGAAAAGTGCATGAGTTCACATCAAATAATTTATCGAACTATCACTTTGGGCTCTGTCATAGCAAAGAATTGCCGAATGATAATTACGTGAGAACACAAAACCCATCTAAATATTACTTTGATCAAAACAATCTTTCTAACAAGACCGAATCTTATAAATTTATTGATCAGAATTTTGACAATAATTATGTGCTGGATCTTTCGTTACCCAAATTTTCATGTAGTAGTCAAAGCAAAAATTACATGTTTGCGACATCTCGTAGCAATATATGTGATAATCAAGTTTTTAATAAAAATAAGAAGAGGGATTTTTGCAATAATTACTACTCAATGTATTTTACAACTGGGATCATATCTAGAGAAAATAATAATATAGGCTTACATTGGAAAAAAGAAATTTTAAAAAAGCATAAACTCAAAAGAACAAATGATAATCAGTTTATAAAAGAAAAACAGCCGATTTCTTTTGTAAATCAGTCAGCAAATCTTCAGCCTAATATTTCTGCTGAGGTATACACAGATATCACTTATGAATCTAAAACTTTAGGATTACTTTTTTATAAGCTCCAAAAGAGATTAGACGCTTCAAAAGATCAATTAAAAAATTGTAAAAATTATTTTAATGACAAAATGTATCAAATGTCTGCTGAACTAGCAAGAAAAAATGTATCTTCGTGTTTCGTCATAAAAAATAAATATAAAACTTTTAGAAATAGATTTAAATTTCCTAGAATAATCAGATTGTGCAAAGAAACAATCCCTAAAGTAACAAAACTTACAAAAAACCTTAAAGAAATTTCAATTTCTGAATATGACAAACGAAACACAATTTGTAATTCCTTGAATTTTATAAAAGACTATTTAAATTTTTTTATCAAGCTAAAAAAGTTTTATAATCGTCAATTAAGGACGTTTGATGTTGTTCTTGATAAAATTTTTTTAACAAACGAAATATTTAAGAATTTAATAATCAATGTCCCTATGCTTAAGATGCTTAATGATATTAAAAATTTACTAAATTTAGGCTTAGGATCTAGTTTAGATAGTAGAACAGAAATATCTATTTTGCAAAAAGAAATTTTAAAAAATGTTCTTATATCATTTTCGTATAAAGATGAAAAGTATAAAAATTTGCAAGAAATTGTAAAGATGATCATAAACTAATAAACTTTATTAATTTTTTATATTGTTAAAATCGGACTAACCTTATGTAAATTATTTGTTCATCATCACGATTTGTTTATTTATATAAACAAACCACAAGAAATAGTTAGTAGTTTTAATTTTAAATAATATTCTTAAATCATTTTAACAATCTTTATATTTTTTTTACTTGTTTGGAGTAATTTACAATACTACTAAAAGAAAACTACATATTAAGAGATAAGCAATTGCAGATATAGAGTAGACAAAATTAAATTAATCGTATTCATATAAACATTTTTCTTTGAAGTACGGCAGAATGACCATAGCAACATTGTCAAGTTTATCTTGCAATATTCCATTTATTCCTAAAATTATTTTTTACTATGATTAACTTTTTTATTCCTTTATAAAAATAGTTAGATATCTTTTTAATTGTAGTACATAAATATAATGTTTTTATGTGGAAAAGCCTTTCATATTATTATTTGGGTTAAAATGACCCAGATGCAATAAAAAGGGGATTCTAAAAATTTTTTTTAGCCTTTAAAAATGAAATTCAAAATGTTTAAAAAGAAAAAACTTAAAAATTTAATTCTAAATAAATCTAAGATAATAAATGGAAGTGTGTGTATAGATGAAGGCAAAACATTCAAGAGAAATAATTATGAATTTTTTCGTTATAAAAATAAATTCTGTCCCGCTTATAATAAACATGTTATTATCTAGAAGAAAATTATCTTTGAAGATTTAAAAAATTCTAAACTTTGGTTTCTAAGAATATTGGAACTATGGCTTATCAAAATTCCTTCATTTTCTATTGCTTATATCGTAAGATTTAGTAAAAAATGCATATATGGAACTATCAAAAGAAGTTTCTTGATATTAATTGAAAATTTTTATAAAAATAATAATTATGTTGGCGGTGAAGATGAAGTTAGTGAAATTGACGAATTTAAATTCAGCAAAAGAAAAAATAACAAGAGTCATCCTGTAGATGGCGTTTGGATTTTTTAAATGGTTGAAAGACAGAACAAAAAAGGTTTTATTATTTCAAGTTGATGACATAACCAAGTCTACATTGCAATTTAAAATTAAAAATTATGTTAAGCCTGGTTCAACTATTTTAAGTGATTGTTGGAAAGGGTATAATAGCTTAAATGAACAAGGTTTTTATCATCAAACTGTAAATCATAGCAGATTTTTTAAGATTATGAAACTGGAGTACATACAAATACTATTGAGGGTACTTGGTCTGCATTAAAAAGCATTGTGCCATATAGATGTAAAACAAGAAGTCTAATCAATCCTTATTTAGTAAGATACGTGCTAATCAAAAATTATGATGACCAGCTATAAATTAGCTGCCTTAAAATAATATTAAATCAAATTCAAGATAAATTTTTACTTTTTATTCTCCACATTTTTAGTTTTACTTTTATAAGGGTTAAAAAAAATTCAAATCCCTTTTTTAGTGTGTCTGGATATACTGTTCCAATTTAGTTTTGTTATAAAAATCTAATATAATCTTTGAATTATTTTAGTTTTATAAATTTGAAGTCAACCAATGATTTTTTTATTGATTCAATTTTTCTGTATAAAAAGAATTATGTTTAAGATTTTGTAGTTATTTTTTTCGTCTTTTTGTACAAGGCAAAAGATGATTTTTTGGTTTTTTATTTAGACTACTTTGACATAGACATTCAGAGTAATTTGTTATCAGCATATTTATAAGCCAATTATTTTATTGCATAAAAAACAAAGTAAATTACATCTTTGGATTGTTATCAATATTTATTTTAATTAATCAGTTTTTAATTATTAAAAATACTTTCAACATAAAAAAGAGGGTTTGTTGACAGAAGTTATTTTTTTATTTTTTTGAATTATCTGCTATTTTTAATAAATTATTTAATATGTTAGTTATCTAATAGTATATCTTAAAAATAAAGTTTATATTTCTAAAGCTTATTTATATTTAAATTTTTTTAAAAATTAAAAGTACTTTATTTTAAAGCAATAATTTAGTTTAACAGACATTTAATTATCAGAAAAGAATTTTTAGAAAAAAGATCCATCATTATTTTTTTAAAAATATTATAATTTATTTTATGAAACGAATTGTGCAAATTATAAAATGATATTTATAACTTTAATACTTAAAATATTTTTGTTTATTTATAATTATTTTACGTAAAAGTTTTTTATTATCTTAACATAGCCTTAATTGCACTTTTTTATTTTTACTTTTAATTTATAGTATAAAAATAACTTTTTATTGTCCCCATATATGAAAAGGTGTTTGTTTAACGTATTTAAACATAAAATTTATTTCATGTTAATATGTATAGGATACTGTTTTACAGTTTTTGTGAAATCTTTTATGCTTTTAGCACCTTACTATTACAGTGATTTTGCATTGGCAGTAAATACGACGACAGCAGAAGCATCTTTTTCTAGTACAAATTTAAGTCAAAACAACGATATTACCAATGATGATGTGTTGCCTCTAGTTGAAGCAGAAGAAGCAACCGAAAAGCAAGCGGTGGAACAAAATTTTTTACAAAAATATAGTAAATGGAGTATAATTGTTATTTTATTTATTTTTCTGGTTGGTGCGATGGTGCCTGCAACGGTTATTTTTTTCGTTTGGATGAGAATAATAATTCTCCAGCAGCAGATGTAGCATTTTATTCAAAATTGGATGCACAAAACCAACATTTTCTAGAAACAAGCTATGAAGGAAAATGTAAAAAAAGATTGGAGTATGTAAACATAAATAAGATGAGTAATATGCATACTTTGAATCTGAGCTTGCTGCGGATATATGAATGAAACAGAATTAAAAAAGTTTAAAAATGGTTTTTATTACAGTGTATATAATACTGCTTTATTATTAGAAATGTATGAGAATAGACCAAAGTTTAAAGAAACTTCTACTTTCAGGTACAAAACGTGTAATAATTTAGAAATTCCAATTTTTTTTTATTTTACAAAAGCGTTTTTTGCATCTGATAAAAATTTATCGGAATTATTTTGTAAGTTTTTTAATTACTGAAAAACGATTTAGAGACAAAGAACAAATCAATATTTTCGATAATTTAACAGGAAATGATATATCCAAAGTTTACAAAGCTATTCCCCATAATAATTGCTTTGCAACTTCAAATCTCTCTAAAGATAATTTAATCGATTTTTTCTTGAATAATGTTGTTCTATCAAAAAATAAGTATTCCATGATAAAAACAGAAGAAGTAGAAAATTTTAAAATACATGGATCATCTGTTAAACTTTGGAAAGTTCATATTAATGATAATTAAGAAAAACCAAGAAAATAATAATTATAAACTTTCACTAAACCAATGGAAACATGCAGTTATAAAATTTAATGACTTGATAAAAGTAAGAAGTGAAGGTGTAAATTTTGAAGGTACCAATGAAGATAAATATACAAATCTTAAAAATTTAGAAACATATGCCAATTTTTTACGAAGTGTTGAACTTGACTGTATAAGTTACATCATTAAAATTTAGGTGCAACTTTTAAGCAATTTGAAAGTTTTAAGGATTCTGAAGATTATATTGATATTCTTTTGGATATAATCTTTTATGGTTTTTATCATGACATTTATGGTAAATAAATTTTTGAAATCTTTGGATTTATTAAAAAATGTCTCCCAATCCACAAAAAATCGTATCTAAGTTTTTATTAAAGCTGCAAAACAGTAATATATATCGTTGTATTTTAACCATATAAACTAATCATAAAAAAATTATTTAAAATTTAATTGTTCACTAACGTTAAAAGAAAAAATATTAAATTTAGAGAGTATAAAAATGCAAATTACTTCCAAACATACCATATTTTAATGCTTTAAATGTCAAGTTTTTTTTTCTCTTTTCATTTTTAAAGTGTTCAGGTGGAAGTGAACGCTAATCTTACGCACTTTTGCTTTCCGTTTAAATTTTTTAAAACCAAAAAATAAAAGTCAAAGCGAAGAAGCACCAGAATTTTAATAAAAATTTTTGTGAGTTTTTTATTGAAGTAAAATAATTTTTTTATACAAAATTAAATAATCAAAAGCTTTATTTAATTAATAATAATTCTTAAACGTTTTTTAAATGTAGAAGATGAAATTTTTTTTTCAGTCGACAAAAGGTTTAAAAAGCATTAAATATATTTTTGACATTGATAATTTAAATGAATTTTTTTTAATGCTTGTCGATGTTGCTTCTATTGTATTTGTGTGCACACCTGTTTCACTATTTATAAAATTGACAGAATAATTAACAGATATATAAATATAATGGTAGTTGCTGCCTTACCTAGGCTGTAATGTGCGGTTGTTAATAAATGAAATGTATAGAGATTTGTTGTACAAGCTAGTCATTAAAACGGATATATTTATTTATTAAAAACTCCTTTAAATACTTTTTTTAATCAGGGTGAAAGTCTATTGGCTATAGAGAGGACCGATGGCATTAATCGGAGTTGTTACAATCATTCGATTGTAAAAGATTGATCATAGCATTCGAGCATAATAGTGTTAATGATATTTTAAAAAATATTACAACTTCATATTTAATTCAATTTGTATCTCCTAAAACTGACTTTGATCTTTTCAAATTTATTTTATATGAGTTTTGTTATAATAACATGGTTTTAAAGGGAGAACAAGATACCAAAAGGCGTTGGGCCTAGCCTACAAAAATACTACTCTTTACATCAAGACTCGGTATTTGATGATATTGATTTTACAATCACTGTTGATTCTAATATTAGCAAAAGAACAATACAATATTTTATATGGGACTTTTACCTGTATAAAAAAACAGAGAATAGTATATTATCATGCATAATTAGTTGTGTTTCTGTAAAAAAATGTTAAACACTTATTTTTAAGCAACTGATTATAGATTTTAATAAGCTATTTGATCTGGACGTAAAACGTTTAGATAATTCTATTTCAACTAATAATATTTATGTAAACGGAACCGTTAATATTAATACTATTGTCGCTAATATTTGTAGAACTAGAGATTCGTCTATATGTAAACAAATGTATAAAAAAATGTTTAAAATAACTTCTAGGCCTCTTGAAATTAATGATAAAGATATTATTGAATTGTTTGTTGCGGAAAATATTATGTATATGTTTGATCTAAAAAATAGAACTCGTAAGCCTGATCTAGTACGAATTCTATATGACGACGATGAATCGACTCATAATGATAATCAGGGGTGCACTATAAAAATCTCTAATTTTGTAACAGAATTACAAAGATATCACCATTCGAAAATTTTAGTATAAACGCCAATGACAGAAACAAACTGGCATTTTTAATAGGATACAAATTTTATAACAATTGTGAATGGCATCAAATATACGATTCTTGTTTTGGGGCGTATTAGGATTTTTTAATGAAGGTAGTATGCAGAATTTTTTAAAGAATGCAACTGGATTCAATAATTCTATTTTGAAAAAAACCAAAGCTCAAGACTTGGTTTAATCAGCATATTCTTATGATCATTGCAATCTTACATGCGATGAAATTTTGTATAAATTATAAGAGTATTACGATTATACCCCAAAGTTTATAGAATGTTTTAAACCAATTTTAGAGTTGTGTATGATCATCAAAAAGAAAATTATAAGATGATAAATAGACAAGAATTTTTCAAATATTTAAACATTGCTTTCAAATGTAACGTTATAATCGACGAAAGATCGGATGACTGTAATAAAATGCAAGACAACACAAAAAGTCTAGATATTGACAACTGTAGTACTGATATGTATGTTGACCTGCAAAATAACAATACGACAGAAATAAATTATTGTGAAATTGACGAATCTTTACAGATATAACTAATAATTTTGTTTTTTCTAATTCAACACTGCCTAATTATACTGAACAATATGACTCTGGTACTAATACATCAAGATTTGAAACAATAATACTTTTACGATTGAAAGAAAGTCGACAGTCATCATATTTTTATACTGTTGGCGATATTATAAATATTGTAGATCGGTTGACAAAATACCTTAAGAAGAAAAATGTTACCAGAGCTGGAATTCTTCACAATCATTTGTTTAAATGTAATGATAAACGACCAACTTAAGCAAGTTGGAAACCTTTCTACTCTAGTTATATGAGAATGATATTATTGTATGTATAAATGCAAAAAATAATGGGCTATTAATTTCATAAAAAAATTAAGCTGATACTTATTTATTAATTCTCAAACATTTTGTCTTCTAAGTATATATTTAACAAAGCTTTGCTTTATCAATTTTAAAATATTCAAATCAAATATTTTGAAAACATCTATAATAATAATATTGTTTTCAAATTATTATTGTAACCACAAGTAATTAGGATTTAAAACTGTTTTTTTTGTAGACATGAATGTTGTACAAACTTTTGCCTATAAAAATTTAAGTACCTCAGAACCGCCGGTCCAATGTTAATTATTACATAAAAGCAAGTAAAACAATGAGCTTATTATATACTATACCGTAGGTCCAGGTCTAACGTGAAACATACATGAGATGGTTTTATCTCTAGTTTCACAATTGTTACTTTTTGGCAATTAAGATTAAAGCCTACCAGCTATCAGTAGTGAAACAGTTGTTTCACTGTAAATATAAATAGCGGACTTTTACGGAAAGCGGATGAACTCAGAACCAAACCACTGTGAGAAGCTAGTCAAATCCGACATATTAATGTAAAAAAAAATTGGGCTGTATGGTTTCGAAAGAATTAGAAGGAATTAAAATTTGCTAACTTTTATTGTCATTTTAATGGCAAACAGAACTCAATACAATAATTATTTAAATTAAACTTAGTAGTTTAAGCTTATTATTTTGCAGTTTTAAATTTTTAGGGGGACTACACCACCTATATCAGAGCTTCTTTTTGGCTATACAATAAATTTATAATATTTTTATTAGATTGTATTATTATTTTTATTTATTATAAAACATACAAATTATTTGGTTCTTTGGTATCTAAACTTCTTATACATAAAATAAAGGATAAAAAATTATTTTTAAAGCTACACCGCCTACTTCGTCTTTAAAAATCAGCTATAAAATGAACTTTTAATTTATAAAAAAAATGATAAATTAAATCAAAACTTAAGTTTAAACAAACCTTTTTAAATTTTAATAAAACACGATCTAAATTGCAAATTTTATTAGCTAATTAATTGTAACATTGTAAAAATCTTCGTTTTCAAGAACAAATCTGGCAGTAATAACTTTTAAAAAATCTTTTTATTGCATTTTCTATTATATTTAACATTACAGACATTTTAAAAATATTTTCGAGAAATAATTTTTTAATAGAAGCTTTAAAACTAAATTATTTACGAACAATTTAAAAGCTTTCTGTTTTTTATCACTATGCTTTGAAATTTAATAGATATCAATATTTAATTTTAGATTTTTATCACTCTGTGTACTATTGAAAGCAAATACATATTTATATATTTAATAAAATTAAAAATGAAATTTTGGAATATTTAATTTAAATGACAACAATTATCAAAATTTGCTTGACTGTTTTTATTTTTATACTATTATAAGAAAATGTTAATATAAATCTGTTAATTTATTTGTGATTTTACAACTGTATTAACTTTCTTACAGTCCCAATTGTTTATGTTACTGTTAAACTTCTTCTTTTAAAATTTGAATAATATTTTTACACTTATTTATACATTAATCAACTATGTTAATACGTCTAAACTTTTGCATTAACATTCTTTTTACATCAAATAATTTTTAAAAAAATAATTAATGGCTTTAATAAAAATGTTTACTAAAACTGATTTGATTTAATAAACAATTATATCTAAAAGTTTTTAACTCATTTTTATTCTAAAAACGACAAAAAAGATATTTATAACAACTAAGCTTATTTTATGTAAATTTAAGATTAAAGATTAATTAGTTTTTTTGTTTAAATTTTGAATTATTTAAACTTGGACAGAAATAAAAGATTTGATTTTTTTTATAAATTTAATTAAATTTTAAGCTTAAAAAGAAAAAAAAAGGTTACCCTTATCATGCTATCAATTTTTCTACAACTTTTTTGTTGCGCTCATCAAAAGGCTAGTTCTGGTAAATCACAGAATATCTGTCAACAGTTATGTTCATTTGTTGATATGCAGTTAGATTGTAAAGAATATTTTTTGCTTAAAAAATCTTCAAAAAGTTTGTATGTGTGTGTGGTAATTCGTGATGAAGGTGTAGCGTATTCTTATTGGAATTTTGAAATACAAGAAAGTGCAATGACGATTTTTAGTATCGTTTACTCTGAGGATATATTAGCAACCAAGATTAGGACTACTTTGCATGTTTTTTCTAAATCTTTTAATGTTGATAATGTTTTTATTTTTACTACAAAAGATGGCCTTAATCATTTATGCAAAGAGGATGTGCAGGAGAAATTAATCACTGGATTAAAAGAGTTGACATATGAAAAATCGGGACCAAAATACCATTTTAAAGGGTATGTTACTGATGAAATAAGCTTAATAGCTAGGACTATAAATAAGAATAATGAATGGGAAAAACAGTCAGAAAATTTTAATGTTGACAGCAATTTATACATAAGACTAGATTCAGATAAAGATTTTTATTTTGTATTTGATCTAGATTTAGATTATTTCAACTTTAATTCATTGCTTAAAAATTATATAGTTTCCATGTTTGACGATAAAAATGGGATGTTCCATAAGTTTTTAACTAATTTTGATTTCGTTTATTCATTTAATATTAAAAAGCTAGTGGATAGGATAATATCAGATAAAAAAGAACTATCAGACCTCAAAAAGTTGTCCCGTGAAGTGCGTAAAAAAAAATTGTTGTTAAAAGGGGGAGATCTCAGTATAACATTTCCAGATGTTGCTAAATATAAATGTCTAGAATGGATTGATAAGATTTCTGAGCAATATGACTGCTACAAAAAATTTATTAAAGAAATTGAAGAACTTGAAGAACTTGAAGGCGAAAGGTTTAACATGTTTTTGGTTTTTATGTTTTCAATATCAAGGCAAGAAATATTTAAGCTTTTACTAGCGCATGTTTTAAGTAGTGAATCTAATCTTGAAAAATTTTATATCGTTGAAATTTTGTTTCAGTTAAATGTTATTGATAGAAAAACGTCAGATAATCTACTTCAAAGGGGGAATGTACAAAATTTACAGTCATGGAAGGAAAAAATTGATGACAAGTTTTTGGCGCCTTTATTAAGACTGACTAATACGCTTCCATTTCATAATACGTTGATAAGATATTTATTTATAATTTTGTTTATCAAAATGAATATGTTAGAAAAAGATTGTAAAGAAATAAAAGATTGCTTACGTACATATCACTCGGATTGCGAAAACCTTTTGATGGATTTAATTGATCGAAAAGAAAAACCGTTTTTTCTTTTAATTGAAACTTCTGAGATATCATTGGAAAAAGTATCTTCGGTGTTATATTGGATTATTTTGGATACATCTAGCGATTACGAAAAGAGTTTTACGAATTACGTTTACAAGGAATTGAGTAAGCAGTGTAAAAAGATAATGAATTTCTACGAAAATCCTACGAGACGGATTAAAAAGAAAGAAAAAGAACAAATTGCTGCTTTATATAAAAAAATGAAGAGCATTGTTGCAATAAGCTCGTATGAAACATTATAAATGTGGTTTAGTAAAATTTTTTAATTTTTAGGACTTTTAAATTTTATTTGTCACATTACAGATTTAATACAATTATATGGCATAAAATGTTTGTTTAAGTTTTTAATACAATGTTTTGCGTTTTTCTGTTTTACCTTATTAATCAAGCATGTCAGAAACTTTTAATCGTAAAATAACTTTTTGTACTAAAAAACGTATTTTATAGATGATTTATAGAAAAGTAAAAATGTAGTGTTAAAATATTATTTTTTACAAATAACAAAAAAAAACTACATTAATATATATAGGTTGTTTATTTAAAAGCTACTTTTGTTATTATTTTTCTAATCATACTAGTATCGGCTTTGCGCAAACAGTAATTTGCTGGTTTTACTTTTTAGCTTCCGCTATCTTGTCTCCTCTCCGATACTAAATTATAATGCTCTCAGAAGTTTTTTTAAGCGTTTTAAAGTAAATTTTATTTCAAGACCTTTTCTATTTTTAGAATAATGTTTATTTACTACACCGTATCATATTATTGCGCAATATAAATTAATATAATATGAAATAAAAATATTATAGAAATAATATATTATTATGATACAGCCAAGGCATGGCCATAATCAAATATTTGTTTAATTAATTTTCTGTCGATAAACAATTAATCGAAAAAAGATTATTTTGTAGCTTTCTTTTATTATGTAACTCCAACCTCTGCTAATCTAATCTTTAATATATATATTCTATTGTTTGTTATTTAAATTTATTTAAAACTACAAAAATAAAATATTATTCTGAAAAATAGGCATAGATTACGGGAAGAAGTTAAAATAAAACAGTCTAAAAGCAGAGATTATTAAATAAACCTTACTGCTTAACTAAATCTTTATAACCTGACATATATATTTGTGTTATTTTTTTTATACTTTACAATAATTTGCAATGTTTTGTAAAGGTCTAATCAGTGAAATTTATATTTGAAAACTTTTAAATAAAAATTAAAATGGTTGTTAATTAAAATAATTGTATAAAATTTTTAGTATGTAAAGTTTTTGATATATTAAATTAATTTTGTTTATTCTACTTATTTTTGTCATATTTAGAAAAAAAACGATATTATTTTGAATCTTGATATTATTAAATTTTTTTATTAATTTAAATATTTAAGAATGAATTAGTCCTTAAAAATGGTTATATTTTTTTTAAAAGTTGTATTATGCATTAATTCTACTTTAGTGCCTAGCGAAGAACAAGATAACTCAAACTGCATTAAACAGGCATACAATATCTTCTATATATATAAATAGTTTGAGTCTGAATATTTTTTTATTTGTTAACCCTTCTTTTTTAAAAATTTGTAAAATTCTTTGTATTTTGTATTAAGAACGGGTAGCATCACTTCAGGGTTTATTTCTCTAGGCACAGCACAGTGTTTTCGTACATTTTTCTCTAATTTTGCTTAATTTTTTGAATTTATATAAGGTGTACATAGTAAATTTATAGTAAAAAGGGCCATTTGTCATTAAAAATAATAAGCATGCGCACAAAGACGTGTTACACAATGAAAAATAAAAATATTATTTATTTATAATCCCGTTTTAAACGGGATAGCGTTAGCTATTATATATAAAAAGTTTGAATCTGAACATTTCTTTATTTTTAAACGTTTCTTTTTTTAAAATTGTGAAATTCTGTTTTATTTTTAATTTAAAAGCATAAAATACAAAATAAAGATTTGTATATAATTGTTATTAAAAGGATATTACGAGGTTTTGTATATTTTTCTTGGGTTTTTTCAATTTTTTGTAATTGCAAAATGGTAACTATTGCAAATTTTACTTTACAATGTAAGACATTTTGTACTTTAAACAATGCGCAAAAGCTTAAAGATATGTTACACAATGAAAAATAAGAAATATCGTATTTATAATCCTGTTTCAAACGGGATAGCGTTAGCTAATTGACTAGTTTTTCTATATATATAAAAAGTTTGAATCTGAATCTTTATTTATTTTTTAACCCTTCTTTTTTAAAAATTATGAGAAATGTTTTTTTAAAGAAATAACATTTTTTTATAGCTATCCTTTTAATGGACAGCTTAATATTTTAAATGTATTTTTTTAAGTTTCATTCAATTGTTCAAATTGCAAAATGTGCGCCATTACTAAATTT